TATGAGACTTTAGCCACCTCAATACAGGGTACTTTTACCCTCTTCCTGCACAGACCAATTTTCAGCTTTCAGTGCTCTCACACTTTGAATGATAATTACTCATGCAACACTGTACCCAAATTAAATTTTTGTCCTTTTTTCACACAAATAGAACTTTTCGTGGTATTTAATTAGCACTGGGTTTTTTATTTTTTGCGCTATAAATAAAAAAAAAAAAAAAAGTTTTGAAAAAAAAAACCTATTTTTTTTTTCGTTTCTGTTATAAAATTTTGCAAATAAGTAATTTTTCTTCATAAATTGCTTTCTTCATAAATTGCTTTAGTAAAAATAATCCCAATCGGTGTGTATTATTTGGTCTGTGTGGAAGTTATAGAGTCTACAAGCTATGGTACCAATCATTGAAAATTGAACACATCTGATCAAACTTGATGTACTGACGGCCTATCTCATTTCTTGAGACACCAACAAGCCACGACAGTACAAATACCCCCCAAATGACCCCTTTTTAGAATGTAGACATGCCAAGGTATTTAGTAAGATGCATGGTGAGTTTTTTTGAACCTGTAATTTTTTTTCATACAATTCTTTGGAAAATGAAGAAAGTAAATACAATTTGTTTTTTTTTCACACACAATTGTTATATTAACAGGTTATTCCTCTCATACAGCATATGCATACTTGCAGATTCACCATAAAACACATTCTTCTGCTCCTCCTGAGTATGGGGATACCACATGTGTAAGACTTTTCCACAGCCTGGCCACATACAGAGGCCCAACATCTAAGTAGGACCTACAGGCATTCTGGAGGCATAAATTACACATCTCATTTCTTGACTATCTGTCATATTTTTAAGGCCCTGGAGCACTAGGACAATAGAATTATTCACAAAATGACCCAATTTTTGAAAGAAAACACCCCAATGTATATTTTATGAGGCACAATGAGTCTTTTGAACATGTCATTTTTTTCAGAAAAATGTGTAAAGAAAATGAAAATGTATTTTTTTTGTACACGAAGTTGACCATTTATAAGATCTTTTTAACACGTAACATGTACATACCAAAAATTACACCACAAAATACATTCTGCTGCTATCTTCTGGGAGTGCTGCGCTGCTTGTACTCACCACTGTGCTACTGGTGGATGCCTGCTCCTCCTCAGATCTCCTAAACCTCTTTGTTTGGACTCTCTCCTCCTCAGAATCCGTTGCTGACCCACTAATTTCAACTGGCTCATACTCAGAATCTGAGTCTGACAGAGAGAGTTCCCCGCTACTCTCTTCTGTCATTCTCAGTATCTAAAAAGCCTCCTTGCTGGAGTATAATTTTTTAGACATGTTTATGCTGCACTGCTGATGTTGATTTTGATGTTCACTGGTACAGATGTGGATTTGACAATGATACAGAGTGACAGATGTTAGTCACTGGTACTGATGTAGAATTTACACTAGTACTGTGTGACAAATATCGAGTACTGGTAAACTGTGATAGATGTGGATTTGACACTGCTAGGCCATGATAGATGTGGATCACTGGTACAGATATGAATTTTACACTGGTACACTGTGACAGATGTGGATCACTGGTACTGATGTTAAATTTACACTGGTACGTCATGACAGATGTGGATCACTGGTACAGGTATGGATAACCACTGGTACATTGCAACAGATATTGATCACCAGTACAGATGTGGAATTTACACTGGTATAGATGTGGATTTTACGCTGGTATGCCATGACAGATGGTGGATCACTGGTACAGATGTGGATTTTATGCTGGTACACCATGACAGATGGGGATCACTGGTACAGATGTTAATTTTACACTGGTACACCATGACAGATGTGGATCACTGGTACAGATGTGGATTTTAGCTGGTATGCCGTGACAGATGTGGATTTTATGCTGGTATGCCATGACAGATGTGGATCACTGATACAGATGTGGATTTTATGCTGGTATGCTGTGACAGATGTGGATCACTGGTATAGATGTGGATTTTATGCTGGTATGCCATGACAGATGTGGATCACTGGTACAGATGTGGATTTTATGCTGGTACACTGTGACAGATGTGGATCACTGGTATAGATGTGGATTTTATGCTGGTATGCTGTGACAGAGGTGGATTTTATGCTGGTACGCTGTGACAGATGTGGATCACTGGTACGTCGTGACAGATTTGGATCACTGGTGCAGATGTGGAATTTATACTGGTATGCCGTGACAGATGTGGATCACTGGTACAGATGTGGATGACCACTGGTACGCCATGACAGATGTGGATCACTGGCACGCCGTGACAGATGCAGATGACCACTGGTACACCATGACAGATGCGGATCACTGGTACTGTGTGACAGATGCGGATCACTGGTGCATTGACAGCTGTGTGGGGGACACTATGGGGTGATGTGTGTGTGTTTTTTCACAGATCAGCTCTGCTTCTCCTCACTAGCAGGCTCAGTGTGAGGAGAGGCGGAGCCGATCAACAGGCTGGTGGCTTTGTAGACATCACGGACACAGCCATCATGTGATCAGAGGGCCAATCAGAGAGCCGTCCAGGGACCACAGTTCAGACGTTCAGGAATGTCCACTCAGAACGGCAAAGATCCCACCTGGCCGTTTATGTGCAGTGGGAAGGTGCTCTCAAATATGATGTCAAATACTTTTAAATTGTTTATTTGTTACAAATTTAAAAAAAAATGGGCAGCTCATTCACAGTACACCATCAGTCTTTAAGCGAGGTTTTAACTGATTATTGGAGTAGTCATCTACTCTTCTTTAACTGAATAAACTTCTCTTCAGCAGTAGATCTTTAGTCCATCTGTACCTCCTAAAAAATAAATAATTTGCGCTAGTAAATGTGTATAAATATATAAATATATATAAAGAAATCATCAAATCATAAGTCCAGAAAAAATATATATATGCCAATACCACAAAAAAATAAAAAAACTTTTAAGTGCAAAAAACTTTTGTGCAAAAAAAGTGTCTAAATATGAAAAATTTCACCAAAAAACCTTGATAATATAATGGCAGATCATCCATAAATATATCTTCAGAAACGGAAACTCTGCAACACACCGATCCTCATCGATCGAAATAACAGGATGAAAAACTTTGTAGTTAATCGAAAATCCACTTCTCCAATAGATAAAGGACCACCTTCAAACATATCCATGGGGGAAATGCCAAGCACTCGAGAGAAACAGAAAGACTTCATGGTGCAATATTATAAAAACCAATTCCTTTATTAGGTACTCATTGCACTTACTCAAGAGGTGCCCAGCCGACACCAGCATCAACAGCATAACAGCAATCACATAAACGAGCCTGGCTACTCAGCACATGCGCAATAGGGCAGCCAAAAACGTAGACGTCACATCAATCAAGCTCCGCCCTACGCGTTTCGTCATCGACGTCCTCACGGAGCGGATGTCCAGGACGTCGATGACGAAACGCGTAGGGCATTGATGTGACGTCATTACGTTTTTGGCTGCCAGCTATTGCGCATGTGCTGAGTAGCCAGGCTCGTTTATGTGATTGCTGTTATGCTGTTGATGCTCGGCTGGGGCACCTCTTGAGTAAGTGCAATGAGTACCTAAAAAGGAATTGGTTTTTTAATATTGCACCATGAAGTCTTTCTGTTTCTCTCGAGTGCTTGGCATTTCCCCCCATGGATATGTTTGAAGGTGGTCCTTTACTATTGGAGAAGTGGATTTTCGATTAACTACAAAGTTTTTCATCCTGTTATTTCGATCGATGAGGATCGGTGTGTTGCAGAGTTTCCGTTTCTGAAGATATATTTATGGATGATCTGCCATTATATTATCAAGGTTTTTTGGTGAAATTTTTCATATTTAGACACTTTTTTTGCACAAAAGTCCACTTAAAAGTTTTTTTAGTGGTTTGGCATAACTGACTTATGATTTGAGATTTCTTTATATATATTTATATATTTATACACATTTACTAGCGCAAATTATTTATTTATTGGTACACTTTAATATGGTGATTTTTTGCAGCTGGTACACTATTAGTAAGTTATATAATTTTGACCATAGGCGCTATTATTAATTTTTCTTACATCTGTACCTCCTGTATCTTTATTAGACTCCACTGCCTGACATTACAATTGAAGTTACTATTTGTTCTCTTTAGTAAGAGATTATATGAATCTCAAGTTGCAGCGGTTGTGTTGTCCTGGGGAAGCCCTGACTGGGCAAAACATGTTGGGACTATCTATCAACGCACCACCGCAAAAAATGAAGACAAGAAGACCATATTTACTCACAATATTGGTTTTTAATCTATAATGTTTTTAATTTGTAACATATAAACAATTCTTACATTTTAACAGTATTTGACATCATATTTGTGTGCACCTTTAAAGTCCCATAAATATGCAATTTTGAAAAAGAATTCTTTCATTTGGGGATGCGGTGCATGAAAAAACTCCATATCAATAGTCCAGATTATTATTAGAAAACCATGTGCTGACAGAAGGAGACAGTAGATCAAGCAGAGTTGATAACAGTATAGGAGATTTACTGAAATTGGAGAGTGCAAAAGTTGGTGCAGCTCTGCCTCGAAACCAATCAGCTTCCAAGTTTTATTGTCAAAGCTTAATTGAACAAGCTGAAGTTAGAAGCTGATTGGCTACTATGTACAGCTGCACCAAATTCTGAGTGCTCCAGTTTTAGTAAATCAACCCCAGTGTGTTACTGCTCCATTGTTTTCCAATAAACAGGCTAAAGATGTGCTCTTGACTAAGTTGCGTTGCTTCTGTCCCAGGGTCAAAGGGCCTTGTTATGCTTTTGATAGGGTTGTTGGCATTACAAAGAGTAGCTACACAGAAATAGAGTTTTTGGCAGGGTAAACAGTTCCTATATTGTATATGTACTGTATTTCAGCTGTGTGTATAGCTGCTTGTCCGGAGTTTTATATTGTTGAATGACTATAACATTTGTGGACTTGTGGATTTTGTTGTAGAAATCCTATTCTGGGGAGAACACAGCCAGTGTCATTGCCCGCTCATGTGCTGCCACAGCCCTCTCTCTGCTGGTCCCAGTGCTTGTTGTATCTTTTAAGGAGAAGGTGGAGGAAATTCTCAGCATTCTGACTGCCAGATTACCTGGAAGGCCAGAAGCAGATGAGTCGCAGTCTCTCCAAGTTCACATGGGATTGGCACTGGGAATGTACATCTCTCGTTTATGTGAAGAGAAAGTCAGGTATATTATTTCTATGCTCGTTTTCTACTACTACACTACCTTTGCACAGTGAACACTGACTTTTGGGGTTTTGTGAAGAAGAAAGAATGGGTGTCAGGTATAGTATTCTATATCCTGTAGTATCACAGCCATGATAATGCAAAGTAAGCCAGTTAGTAAGCCATAAATATCTTTGTGTAGTATTTGTATGTTATTACATACAACATAAAATCATACACAGATTTTTATTTTAATAAATTGATTCAACAAAATGTTCCAATTGAATCTGGTAAAATTTTAGTTTCAATAATGAGATTTAACAGCTAATACCGGTCATAGATGGTTGGAACCCTGGCTGGTCCAGCAGGGAGCAGTCGAGATTTGAACCATCTATGGGCAGGCTCTACCCAATTTTGCCAATTGTTGTATAACTTGTATACAAACAGCTTGTCTGATTCTTCATGCAAATATTGCTAGCGGTTATAGCCGCTGGCAATAATCACTGTCTTCTCCTGACAGGGAAAGCCCCCCCCCCCCCCACCAGGAGAATACAATAGCTTTGCGGGAGGGATTCCCCCATCAACACTGACTGTTGATGGGGTATCGAACGATTTTCTTTCCTGCACCCTGTGGTTGCAGGATGGAAAATTGCATCATCAATGGCTGGCTTAATATAAATTAAAAATTGAACTGCGTAGCTTGGAAATTATTCTTTGCAATGATATGTTATCATTACACTGAAAGTAGATACCAGGTGCTGATTAAAAAAAAAATATTTGCTACCATTCAAAGGCACAAACTGTAGTAAAAAGTGAACAGTCACCATAGATTCATACATGTCTTATAAAAACATTAAAATTGTGTTAGTATCATTAGGTTACATATCATTAGAGCAAATCAGTTTTGTTGAATCTTCTTATGTGTTTCTGTTAATGGTCATCGAGATATTATGTGCTTCTGTTTGTTTTTTTGCAGTGACACTTCTGGTCAGCAAATGAACTTAATAATCATGAAATCTTTGGATGCTTTGGAAAGCTGCTGTTTTGATGCCAGCCTGGACTATAAGTACGTATTGTGTTCATTAGATTCATTAGATTTATTTCACTGATTGTAAAGTATCGGATATAATGCACTGACCAACGGAGTATTGGTTTTATGTTGACAGACAACATGGAAACATTATTATTTATATGAATTGCATATTATAATCAAAGTAAAACAGAAGTGTGAACTGTTCAAAGATGATACATGTGCACAAACATTGATATTATTAGCATTTGATAATGGGCACAATAAGGTTCCAGATGCTACTTGTATGTTAACTGTCCTCTGTTTTATGGCACTGCCACAAAGGGTCCTGTGCAAATACCTTGAAATTAAAAATTTGCATCATTAAAAGCAGCTCTTCCCCTCAGACAGTGCTAAGGCCTTGCTATTGGTTTCTTGCACACTGATCACCGTCACTTTGGGAGGCAGGACCAAGTACCCCCATACTCACCTCATTCCCCGTTTTACCTGCACTGTCAAAGTCCTCTTCTAGTGCCTACTATTTGATGTCAGAAGGGAGCAGTTTAGAAGTCTTGAGCAGTACACAGGTCCATTTTACATGATTTGAAAGCATCAATTAGCATATTTAATAGCTTTTAACTATAATTGTAGTGTTATAAATGTGACTTGTGCTTTAGAATTTCAAATATAGATATTGCGATATTTTTTATTCTCTACTGGTTTACCAAGATTATTAGGTCTCTAAACTTTTTGTAAAGTGCTGTAAAACTGTTAGCACTATATAAATCCTGTACAATAATAATAATAATTGTATATCACCTGAATGTTCTTTAATTATTATTTAAGGCAGACAGTGTGAATGGACTGTGCTGAATGTTTTCCCTGACAGAAGTGGAAGTATAATTATAGAATGCATGTGTATACATTTCTGATGTTTGTTATAAATATGTGCTGAATGTGTTCCAAGACCATTAGCCCATGACAATTCAGGGATAATAAAGGAAAATAGTCTCAGATTTTTTCTAAATAAGTTAGTTGACATACATATATTTGAGAATATTTCATCTCTCCAAGAGCTTTCTGTTGGTGTAGTCAGTGTAGTTATCGACTGTTGGTTTCAGTAATGATACAGTTTGGAAGATCCTTTACAGTGCCTTGAAAAAGTATTCATACCCCTTGAAATTTTCCACATTTTGTCATGTTACACTCAAAAACATAAATGTATTTTATTGGGATTTTATGTGATAGACCAACACAAAGTGGAACATAATTGTGAAGTGGAAGTAAAATGATAAATGGTTTTCAAAATTTTTTGCAAAATAAATAAATTTTTTACAAATAAATATCTGAAAAGTGCGGCATGCAAGTATTCATACCCCTTGAAATTTTCCACATTTTGTCACATTTCAACTAAAAATGTAAATGTATTTTATTGGGATTTTATGAGAGAGACCAACACAAAGTGGAACATAATTGTGAAATGGAAGGAAAATGAGAAATATTTTTCAAAATGTTTTACAAATATCTGTGTAGTGTACATTTGTATTCAGCCCTCTTTACTCTGATACTTCTAACTAAAATCTAGTGGAACCAATTGCCTTCAGAAGTCACCTGATTAGTAAATAGAGTCTACCTGTGTGTAATTTTAATCTCATTATACATACAGCTGTACTGTAAATACCTCAGAGGTTTGTAAGAGGACATTAATGAACAAACAGCATCATGAAGGCCAAGGGACATAGCAGACAGGTCAGAGATAAAATTTGGTTTTCTACATTTTTTACAAATATCTAAAAAGTGTGTTGTGCATTTGTATTCAGTCAGTACTCTGTAGATCCACCTCTCGCTGCATTTACAGCTGTAAGTCTTTTTGGGTATGTCTCTACCAGCTCTGCACATCTTTGAGTTACATTTTTTCCCATTCTTCTTTGCAAAATAGCTCAAGTTCTGTCAGATTGGATGGAGAGAGTCTGTGAACAGCAATTTTCAAATCTTGCCACAGATTTTCAATTGGATTTACGTCTGGATTTTGACTGGGCCATTCTAACACATGAATATGCTTTGATCTAAACCATTCCATTGTAGCTCTAGCTGTATGTTGTCCTGCTGGAAGGTTAAGCTCCACCCCATTCTTAAGTCTTTTGCTGACTCTAAACAGGTTTTCTTCTAAGATTGCCCTGTATTTGGCTCCATCCATTTTCCCTGTCCCTGCCGAAGAAAAGCATCCCCACAACATGATGCTGCCACCACCATGTTTCACGGTGGGTATGGTGTGTTCAGGGTGATGTGCAGTGTTAATTTTCCGCCACACATACCGTTTTGCTTTTAGGCCAAAAAGTGTGATTTTGGTCTCATCTCTCCAGAGCACCTTCTTCCACATGTTTGCTGTGTCCCTCCCATGGCTTCTTGCAAACTGGACTTCTAATGGCTTTCTTTTAACAATGGCTTTCTTCTTGCCACTCTTCCATAGAGGTCAGATTTGTGGAGTGCACGACTAACAGTTGTCCTGTAGACAGATTGTCCCACCTGAGATGTGGATCTCTGCTGCTCCTCCAGAGTTACCAAGGGCCTCTTGGCTACTTCTTTGAGTAATGTTCTCCTTGCCCAGCCTGTCAGGTTATGTGGACAGCCATGTCTTGGTAGGTTTGCAGTTGTGCTATACTCTTTCCATTTTCATATGATGGATTGAACAGTGCTCTATGGGATGTTCAAAGCTTGACATTTGTTTAAAACTTAACCCTGCTTTAAACTTCTCCACAACTTTATCCCTGACCTGTATGGTGTGTTCCTTGGCCTTCATGATGCTATTTGTTCACTAATGTTCTCTAACAAACTTCTGAGAGCTTCACAGAACAGCTGTTTTTATACTGAGATTAAATTACAGACAGGTGGACTCTATTTACTAATTATGTGGCTTTTGAAGGCAGTTGGTTTCACTAGATTTTATTTAGGGATATGAGAGTAAAGAGGACTGAATACAAATGCACGCCACACTTTTCAGATATTTATTTGTAAAATAATTTTGAAAACCCATTTATCATTTTCCTTCCACTTCACAATTATATACCACTTTGTGTTGGTGTATCACATAAAATCCCAATAAAAAACAATTACGTTTTTGGTTGTAACATGACAAAATGTGGAAACGTTCAAGGGATATTAGTACCTTTTCAAAGCTCTGTATATTGGTTTTTGCTTTATTAGAGGACATAATGTTTTCTTGTAAATGTATACATCTCTTTTGCTGCCAATTTTTCACCATTCTTTCTCTATTAGGCTCGACTGTACTGCCCTCTTCTGGTCATTTCTTAAATGGCTGCATTAAATTAGTTTCTTTGTTCACTGCCTGGTTTCCTATATAACCACTCTTTCTGTATTTCTGTAGTAATTATATATGCTTCGCACATGGCTTCATCTCTTGTTCAATTTAAATTAAATAAATAAATATATCTATATACATACATACATACATACACACACACACACACACTATATTGCCAGAAGTATTGGGACACCCCTCCAAATCATTGGATTCAGGTGTTCCAATCACCTGCATGGCCACAGGGATATAAAATCAAACACCTAGGCATGCAGACTACTTCTACAAACATTTGTGAAAGAATGGGTCGCTCTCAGGAGATCAGTGAATTCAGGTGTGGTACCATGATAGGTTGTCACCTGTGCAATAAGTCCATCCATTAAATTTCTTTGATACTGAATGTTACACGGTCAACTGTTAGTGGTATTATAACAACTCAGCCATGAAGTGGTAGGCTGCCCAAAATGACAGAGTGGAGTCAGCACATGCCGAAGCGCACAGTGCACAGAAGTCATCAACTGCCTGCAGAGTCAATAGCTAAAGACTCCCAAACTTCGTGTGGACTTCAGATTAGCACAACAGTGTGTAGAGAGCTTCAGAAATGGGTTTCCATGGCTGAGCAGTTGCATCCAAGCCTTACATCACCAAGTGCAATGCAAAGCGTTGGATATAGTGGTGTAAAGCCACAGGACTCTAGAACAGTGGATACATGTTCTCTGGAGTGACAAGTTTATGTGCGTGTAAAGTTTAAATATATATCTCAAAAAAATTAAAGGAACACTTTGAAAACACATCAGATCTCATGCTGGATATCTATACTGATATGGACTGGGTAATGTGTTAGGAATGCAAGGATGCCCCATCGTTTGACGGAAATGAAAATTTCCAACCTATAGAGGACTGAATTCAAAGACACCCTGCAAATCAAAGTGAGAAAATGATGCAGCAGGCTAGTCCATTTTGTTGAAAATTTCTTTCAGAAACTCAAAATGGTACTCAGTAGTTTGTGTGCTTGTATGCATGCCTGACAATGTCGGGGCGTGCTCCTAATGAGACAACAGATGGTGTCCTGGGGTATTTCCTACCAGATGAAAAGCACATGGCACCACTGACAGACCTGCCAATTCTGGTGCCAGGCAGTGGGCACAGGGCCCACTAGAGGATGTGGGGCCCTCAGGCCACCCTCATGAAGTCTGTTTCTGATTGGTCAGAGACATTCACACCAGGGGCCTGCTGGTGATCATTTTGTAGGGCTCTGGCAGTGCTCATCCTGTTCCTCCTTGCACAATGGAGCAGATACCGATCCTGCTCATGGGTTAAGGACCTTCTACGGCCCTATCCAGCTCTTCTAGAGCGACTGCCTATCTCCTCCATGCTCTTGAGACTGTGCTGGGAGACACAGGAAACCTGGCAATGGCACGTATTGATGTGCCATCCTGGAGGAGTTGGACTGGCTGTGCAACCTCTGTAGGGTTCAGGTATCACCTCATGCTACCAATAGTGACACTGACCCCAGCCAAATGCAAAACTAGTGAAAAACAGTAAAAAAAGATGAGTAGGGAAAAAAATGTCAGTGGCCTCCACCTGTAAAACCATTCCTATTTGGGGATCATCTCATTATTGCCCATCTAATTCACCTGTTGTTAATTTCCTGAACACCAAAGCAGCTGAAAAACTGATTAACAACCCCCTCTGCTACTTAACTGACCAGATCAATATCCCAGGAGTTTAATTGACTTGATGCTATAATCTAATTAAAAAGCATTCCTTTAATTTTTTGGAGCAGTGTATATACACATACACAGTACTGTGCAAACATTTTAGACCGGTGTGATGAAATGCTGTAAAGTAAGAATTCTTTCAAAAATATATATTTGAATTGTTTATATTTATCAATTAAGAAAAGTAAACAGAAGAATAATTTAAATCAAATCAATATTTGGTGTAACTACTCTTTGGCTTCAAACCAGCATCAACACTTGCATAGTTTGTACACTTGCACAAAGTAAGGGATTGTGTAAGATTACAGTCAGGCGTATGATTAACCAATTATACCAAGCTAATGGTTAGTGTTAATGATCATCAGTTGTATATGTAGGTTGAAACATGGTCATTAACTGAAACAGAAACAGCTGTGTAGTTGGTTTAAAACTGGGTGAGGAATAGCCAAACTCTGCTACTAAGGTGAGGTTGTGGAAGACCGTTTCATGTCACAGATTATACACTATGGCAAGACTGAGCACAGCAACAGGACACAAGGTAGTTATACTGCATCAGCAAGCTCTCCGAGGCATTTTAAAGCAGATTGAGGTTTCAAGGGGTGCCGTTAAAGCTCTTTTGAAGAAGCAAAAAGGAACCGACAGCACTGAGGACTTAAATTTATTCTGCAGCAGGACAATGACCCCAGACATACGTCCAATGTTACGAAGAACTACAATCATGTCCATAAATATTGGGACATTGACACAATTCTAACATTTTTGGCTCTATACACCACCACAATGGATTTGAAATGAAACGAACAATATGTGCTTTAACTGCAGACTGTCAGCTTTAATTTGAGGGTATTTACATCCAAATCAGGTGAACGGTGTAGGAATTACAACAGTTTGCATAAGTGCCTCCCACTTGTTAAGGGACCAAAAGTAATGGGACAATTGGCTTCTCAGCTGTTCCATGGGCAGGTGTGTGTTAGTGTCAGGAATGGACTTGCCAATAGTGGTGGGACTCACCTGCCTTGTGGGCTGCAGTACCAGGGCTGGCCAGCGGGTGCTCTCAACAACCAGAGGTTCACTTCGGCAATTAGCCATCACCTGGGGCTGATTGCAGGTGGTGTATTTAAGGGATGGCCAGACCTGCAGTCTGTGCCTTGGTGTGTTTTTCCATGGGCCCCTGTATCTTGTAACCTGCATTCCTGTTTCTGCCTGACTTGTTGCCGACCCTGCCTGATCCTGACCTCTGCTGACTTCTCCTGTTTGATCCCTGGCTTGTGACCCTGACCATTCTCTGCCTGAACCGTTAGTTGCTGTACCCGGCTCGTGACCTGACTACTCTCCGCCTGCTCCTCCTGTACCTACCTGCCCGATAGTTATCGACCCGGCCTGCCTGACTACGTTGTGCTCTATATGTGTATGTACCTGTGTATCTATATCAGTTTAGGTTTGGGTTTGTTTCACCTTGTTGTATGTATTTGTGTTAGCTTGGGGTTTGGTGCACTGTGTTTATGTTTGTATTGTTAGTCTTAATAAATTGTCTTATTTATACCATATCTGAAGCTTGCGGTTCCCTGTGTCAGTCCACACACTTCTGGTCACACCCGCATCCCTGACAGTTAGTCCCTCATTATCCCAATTACAATGAGCAGATAAAAGGTCCAGAGTTCATTTCAAGTGTGCTATTTGCATTTGGAATCTGTTGCTGTCAACTCTCAAGATGAGATCCAAAGAGCTGTCACTATCAGTGAAGCAAGCCATCATTAGGCTGAAAAAAACAAAACAAACCCATCAGAGAGATAGCAAAAATATTAGGCGTGGCCAAAACAACTGTTTGGAACATTCTTAAAAAGAAGGAACGCATCGGTGAGCTCAGCAACACCAAAAGACCCGGAAGACCATGGAAAACAACTGTGGTGGATGACCAAAGAATTCTTTCCCTGGTGAAGAAAACACCCTTCACAACAGTTGGCCAGATCAAGAACACTCTCCAGGAGGTAGGTGTATGTGTGTCAAAGTCAACAATCAAGAGAAGACTTCACCAGAGTGAATACAGAGGGTTCACCACAAGATGTAAACCATTGGTGAGCCTCAAAAACAGGAAGGCCAGATTGTCGTTTTCCAAACGACATCTAAAAAAGCCTTCACAGTTCTGGAACAACATCCTATGGACAGATGAGACCAAGATCAACTTGTACCAGAGTGATGGGAAGAGAAGAGTATGGAGAAGGAAAGGAACTGCTCATGATCCTAAGCATACCACCTCATCAGTGAAGCATGGTGGTGGTAGTGTCATGGCGTGGGCATGTATGGCTGCCAATGGAACTGGTACTCTTGTATTTATTGATGATGTGACTGCTGACAAAAGCAGCAGGATGAATTCTGAAGTGTTTTGGGCAATATTATCTGCTCATATTCAGCCAAATGCTTCAGAACTCATTGGACGCCGCTTCACAGTGCAGATGGACAATGACCCAAAGCATACTGCAAAAGCAACCAAAGAGTTTTTTTAAGGGAAAGAAGTGGAATGTTATGCAATGGCCAAGTCAATCACCTGACCTGAATCCGATTGAGCATGCATTTCACTTGCTGAAGACAAAACTGAAGGGAAAATGCCCCAAGAACAAGCAGGAACTGAAGACAGTTGCAGTAGAGGCCTGGCAGATAATCACCAGGGATGAAACCCAGCGTCTGGTGATGTCTATGCGTTTCAGACTTCAGGCTGTAATTGACTGCAAAGGATTTGCAACTAAGTATTAAAAAGTGAAAGTTTGATTTATGATTATTATTCTGTCCCATTACTTTTAGTCCCTTAACAAGTGGGAGGCACATATGCAAACTGTTGTAATTCCTACACCGTTCACCTGATTTGGATGTAAATACCCTCAAATTAAAGCTGACAGTCTGCATTTAAAGCACATCTTGTTCGTTTCATTTCAAATCCATTGTGGTGGTGTATAGAGCCAAAAATGTTAGAATTGTGTTGATGTCCCAATATTTATGGACCCCTGACTGTATCTTCAGTGAAAAGAACAAGGAGTCCTGGAAGAGATGTTTGGCTCCCACAGGACCCTGGTCTCAACATCATCTCAACATCGAGTCTGTCTGGGATTTCATGAAGAGAGAGAAGGATTTGAGGCAGCCTACATCTACTGAAGATCTGTGGTTAGCTCTCCAAGATGTTTGGAATGACCTACCTGCCAAGTTTTTTTAAAAACTGTGTGCAAATGTACCTACAAGAATTGCTGCTGTTTTGAAGGCAAAGGGTGGTCACACCAAATATTGATTTGATTTGGATTCTCTTCTCTTCATTTGCTTTCAATTTTTTATTTGATAAAAATAAACTATTAACACTTCTATTTCTGAAAGCATTCCTACTTTACAGCATTCTGTCACACCTGCCTAAAACTTTGGTACATGTGTTTGTGTGTGTGTGATGCATAAATTAAATCTGTCATGTCCTTTCCTCCTCTTTTGAAAGCTTGTTGTTTGACTTCAGTTACTGTATACTTGCTCAGTATCTTTACCAAAGGCAGCCAAGCAACTAGCAATTTCAGAAGTATATTCTCTTATGATGTTTGTACTGTAAATTGTGCATCTTTCAACAGCATTGGCTGCATTCTTGGAGTGGGCCTCGTTCTTTGCTTCATGAGTCAGAGCAGCCAGACAGACAATCGTGTCCATGTCTCAGCCACACTCCGTAAGATGTATGAATGTCTGGGGAACAGTGGTGACCAAAGCCGAACTGTACAAGAGGTATGACACTATCACTGTGATACAGAAGTTTAACTCTGGCCATCAGATGTGTTAAAGCTACAGTGCAGTCAGATTTGTAAATAAAGCCCTATGATGCATACAGTGCAGGGAACACAGCCTACCTATCTGGTTAGTACTTTTTCATCTAGGCATTGTTGTAGAGCATTAATCCACCGTGCTCTCCTTTGTGTGCAATCTAGTGATCTGAGGACATTTGCCTGTGATGTAGAAGAAAAGATTCCCAAACAAGGACTTTGGAATCCTTGTTTCACCTTGCTTTGCTTCAGTGTTACACCTCTGGCAAATATACAGTAAATGGCCAATGTTTTGTAAACCAAATCCAAAGTGTATTTCCCAGACTAAGCAGATTTTGTAAGGTATCTAATTTGCAACGAGAGCAATATGTTCTGTTTTCTGAAGAGAACCTCATGTGCCAAATTAAATAGCTTGATTATTGTTCTAATTTCTAAGTGTTGTGTCTTTCACACTAAAATATCAAAAGTTATGTATGTCATATCTATAGTAGATAACCTACTGAAAAGTACACCAGATGCAAGTTGGGAGTTACAGAGGAAGTCATTGATCTTACCTGTTTATGTATATGGTCACATTTCAGCTTGAGCTATTGAGCTGTGTAAAAAAAAAAAAGCATCCTTCTACCAGAGGAGTTATTGGAAATAAGGGGAGGCCTATATTAATTCACACAAAACATACAGTATTTACCTGGCAGCAAAAAAAGAAAAATATTTTAAAGCTGACCATAGTATCTATAGAAAATATGTACAAATCACTACACTTTCTATTTGAGCGGTATTCAGGTCGTTTCTAACTGGATTGGTTCACTCAGCAGTGGCCATATCCTCAGATCATATATTGTTAGAGTAATATTGCATGAATTGCTGTTCTGTCTACCACTGGGTCACACCTCCCTCCCCACAGTCCACATTAAAGCTGGGTACACATGGATTGAAATTTGACCGGTTCAGAAGGGAGTGGCCAAATATTGTGTGCAGCCCTCCCTGTTAGACATAAGTCAATTGTTCGATCAGTTTCTGTAGAACAAGACATATGGAAAATCAGACTGCAGGAAAATCTTATTCGGTCATATATGCAAAAATCTATTTTTGTTTTTTTTTTTTTGTTTTTTTGTTCAGCCAGCTTTTCATTTGTCCAGCTCTTGTGAACCACTTTAAGTATAGCTTCATTTACTGTGCTCCACTATTGCTTAGGTTTCCCCCAACAGTCAGTGCAAACTTTGCAACATTCCCATTATGAGTGGTTGCATTTTTGGCAGTACTTTCCCCTTAAACCTGTCCTTCATCAACACTCTTTGTTCCCCATGTCTGCAGCCTTTGTTTCCAGGGTCTACAATCTCTATTCCAATAGGCCTCACCACCTTTGTTTGCATTATGATATGCACTGCTCCAGGATCACATTCTGTGTAAACATAAAGTATGCAATCTCGTGATGACACTTTACAGGGCATGTTTGAGGATGGTGACAACAGTAGACCATACCTGTGTAATGTGCTGGAGCACAATTGAGAAATGGGGGCAAAGGGTTGTCACGGTATAGCAGGAAGTACCTATTTCTAGGTCTGTTTTAATGAAAGCTGAAGACTTAAAACTATGGAATGGACTTTTTAAATAGCAATAACGTGAAAGATTTTAGTGATTGTGTTTACATATGATCTAATATTCTAGGTGCTGTCATACTCTGTTGCCTGTGTCTCAGTGTCAGCTTTTAGTGCTGGAATTGTTAGTGCTGACGAAGCTGAGGAACACTTGAATAAACTAAGAACACTGACTGAACAGAACCAGCAGGTTTGTTTACACCCTGTGTATTTGATTATATATCTGGGTAAACATGTAATCCTATTTAGTATTTTATAGATATAGGTTTGTTTGTATTGCAGATTTTATAGATTTTTATTTTTAAGAGTATCTTAAAATCTTATCTGTAACCTATAAACTCCTTCAGACACCTGGTTTAGCTCTTTCACTGGGAGCTATTGTTCATGGCTTGTCGGTATGTGGTCATGGGAAGGCAGAGGACCTGAACAACCGTTTGCTACCTGCCTGGATTAAGATCCTACTTGCAGAGGTAAGTACTAGTTTTCTTCTCTGTATACTTAAAAATCATGGTAAATAATTGTCCACACAAGCTTCCTCTTGTCTTTCAGGGTTGTCCAACTATGCAACGATTAGCTGCACTTAATGGACTTGTGGCATTGGTAGGCTCTGAATCTGCACTCATTCAAGTAAGTAATCAAAGTTGGTCAACAAACTTAAGCAGGTCAGTTCGCTGAATTGTGGAAATGTACAAAGGAAAAATGTGTGTGAAAAAAGCAGCATAAATGCATTTGTTCAAACTGATGGTCACTGATGGGCGGCGCTGACTGACGGCACTGATGGGTGGCACTGCTGGGCACTGATGGCTGGCACTGGTGGGAGTCACTGCTGGGCAGCACTGCAGGGCACTGATCATCAGTGCCCTGATGATCAGTGCAGATCTCTGTGACAGCTGCCGGTTATCGGCCATACTTTCCTCACGCTGTAACAGTTTGAGGAAAGTGCTGCCGTTAACCAGCAACTGTATTTACTCTGTGATCTGCTGTGTCATTGGACACAGATGATCACGTGGTAAAAGGCTGCTGTGATTGGCCTTTTATACCTCATTATGTGATCAGCTGTGATCACTGAGATCGCTGGGTGCGTGCCCCTGGAGGCGTGCAGGAGGGTGCATTCTGGGAGGACGTCATATGATGCCCTCCCAGAACTGGGTAACCGCGCTGTAGCCGTCATTCTAAGTGCATTCTATGCATTAAGGTAAAAAACCGTCTGTGCCAGGGAATCCCCCCTCCCCTTTATTCTTATCTGAGTCCAATCCGATCAGCGATGTGCACAAAAGCAACGGCTCTTGCTGTTGCCTCTCTCCGAACTGAACCATTGGCTCCCACTGCTGTCAACCAAATGCTATAATGGGGGGGGGGGGGGGGCAAACCGCTCACTCTGTGTCAATAGACTCACACGGGGTGGCTCAAGAGTGAGCCCACACAGGTGTCCCCATGAAGGCTCTCGCCGAAGAGGAAAAGCCTGAAGCTTTGGCGGGGGACCCCAGAAGAGGATGATTGAGGCTGCTCTTTGCAAAACCATTGCACAGAGCAGGTAAGTATTCCATGTTTGTTATTTAATTTTAAAAAAATTAAGGTTTCATTGTACTTTAGACATAGAATATGTGGTATATAATACACACAGTGTGTTATATGTGAAAAAATTGTGCAAACTAAATGAATATTTTATTTACAGAGATACATATTTGAAGCAATCTTGTACCTAAAGTTGAACGCTAGGCAAATTTTAAAACAAAAATTTTTAGCACTCTGTAATCAAGAAGCCAGTCATTTCATATGCTGACAGGAAGCATGAATGGGCTCAAATTGCACCGCACACATATGCATGTGAATCGAACAGGAACATGTTGCGCATTCCTGTAAAATTCATAGTGTGAAGTGGGGCTTATCACTTTCAAAGGATGTTTTTAGCTTTGTGTGTGCACTGTTAGGTTGCTTTGCATCATCACATGTTTCATAAGCAGCAGTCATGCATTTCATAGTCCTATTCCACCAATCAGTCAGTCATTTCTGCCTCCTTTGCTTCATAATCCTCTATAAACTTCCTGGAAGGCTTAACTGTACATTTGGACTAGCAGATATGTTTCCCTGTTGCAAATCAGCTTCATCTTAGGAAAGAAAAGGCTGCTCAATTTATGACTTTACTGGATGAATCAATTCTTATTCAGATATGTTGTACAAATATGAGCAGTGTAACTATATGTGTGCAGTAACAGGTTATATAGAAAACCAGGTGCTTGTGCACAGCACAAATCAAACACAGTCTATCACAATACAGAAATTCCAGCAGCACCGATAATTAAAACACAGTTCTTCCACATGCAAGTTCAATACACAAACAAATGTATATAGCATACATCTTTACCGACTGCAGAAAGATTTTCTGCAATCAGAGCCAGGACACAAGGGGTGGGAAGGAAGGTGGGCTGACCTGGGTGTGATGGAATCATGTGAGGTGGGGGGGCGCCGCATGGAGAGTTCCGAACTACAAGCTGAAAGGAGTAGTGATGGCAGCATCACTACTCCTGTTAGCTTAGTGGTGAAGGAGACAAACTAGATATGGAGAGGAGGAGAGAGCTGGGAGGACATGCAGGTTGTGCTCTGTCTTCCCTCCCGCTCCTCCTCATGGCACTGCAGTGCTTCTGGATCGGGACTACCAGATCTCCAGTGTGCAGTGTTTTTTATCCACCCTGATCTCCTCCCAACAAAGAATGTGGGTAGAGGACAGGTAAGCAAACACTGCACAGTGGAGATCTGACAGCCATTGGTATCTTTAGTGTGGTGCCCCAAATTTGTGATCCTATAGCCCTGTATCAGCCAATGTTTGTGCCCTCCAGCTGGAGGAGAGGGAGAGGATTTTTGCTGACACAATGCTCATATATTTTGGGTGGGGTGCCTTTTGGCATCTTCACCCTGGGCGCTAGATGACGTTGTCCTGGCACTGGCTGCAATTGAGTGAAATAAGACACATAATTATGTAGCAGCAGACTAATCTGATCCCCAGTTGCTTCTAAGCAGATCTCAGAGTCTTTAATACAGCATATGCTCACACAAGACCATGTGCTTACTGAGGCCCAGTTATAAATGAAAAACTTCTTACTGTTGTTCTTCAAATGCCACTTTATCTACTGACATACCTCCATAAACCCAATATGGTCATCTACTGCCATGGCACCATCCACAGGCAGCTTAACAGAAATTGAATTCCAATGCAATTTTTCTTCAGATAATGCAGTACAGGGGATGGCTTTTTTTCCAGTTTTATGAAGTGCAAGAAGTCACTTCAAATAACGCAGACTTCTACAGTTCAATACAACACAAAAAATACATTTAGGCGGGACAGAACACAGAGCATTGTTACATGCAGCAGATGGTATACCTTAGCTTATATGAACTATTTGTCTAGAATATTTGGGAGGTTAACCAGAAGAGGTTACCACAAACACTGTAGTTACATTGCCGACTTTCCAGTTACTGTTAGTTTATAGTGTGGTTCTTCAATATAGTTCTATTTAATGTACCCTGAAAGTTATTGTTTTCTGACTCTCTCATACTACAGCTGAAATCTGAAGCTATCCAGTCATCCTTGTTCCAAAGCAAACTTAATGAAGTCATCAAAACAATTACACAGGTAAGAAAGCTTTATTGTGGTGTTACGTTGTTGTATGTTATACCCTCAGAGATTGGTTTTGTCATATATACTGTATATATATTATGTATAATATATGTATATAATTATAAAATTCAAACAATGCAAAATTATAAAAATGGAAACAAGGTAAAACAGTTTGAAATAAGGTCTACAGAGACAAACACTTCAAGACAAAACACATAGATAGTTATCCATAGTCACTGAAGCTGGCAGTCTAAAGGAACTAATTTTGGGCAAGCAAATGTGTGCCCATTCGTGGAAGGGTTGATTAACAGTGTGTTTTGGCTTCTCCATGATTCTCAAAACTTTGGCATACATTAGTGCCCTGATGGACAATATTTAAGCTGGGTAGGTTTTTTTTTTTTTTGGTCAGATCCAGAGGAGAATCTGCTCTTGGACTGCTGACTGAAGAAATAGAAGGCAGAGATAGAGCTAATTGTGGACTATGGGTAGGGGGTCATATATGAACTGGAATGCAGGTTTCGAAGACAATTGGTTTATACTCCAGGTCACAGGAGGATTGGACACTGACCTCTCCCATTACCATCATCAGCATCCTTAGAAGGATGAATGTCTTTCTTAGCTATGCAAATTACAAGACATACATTTGATGGGTGGATTCTTCAGTCAACAGCTGCTATTTGATTTAGATCAATTTCGCTAGATGTTAAGTCTCTTCAATGTTGCTATCAATTGCAGTTTTTTTTTTCCAATTTCTGGAATGTCCACTTGGTTCTGGGTCCTTCATTATAGTGTCTTTCAGTTTTACTCTGGTCTTTCATTGTGCCATGCTTTCTGGGTCCATAACCTTGAAAAATGCATTGCTTGACCCCGTCTCTGAAAACTCTGTTCCCTATTGTGCAGATCAGGCACAATATTAGGAGTTTCCTCCGATGTATTAGTTTCTAGGGTGGATTGTGTGGAACTCACCTTGGCAGTGCTCAGTTTTTGTACCGAGTCCCTTGTTCCCATCTGCAGTGGCATGAAAAGGGTTGAGCTGGGTGGAGTGTCGTGTATGTGCTCTGCACCCTCTTTTCCACCAGTGAGCAAAGAGGAAGAATCTCCCCGTTGCTGTCTCTACCTTCTAGAGACACAAGTTCACTACCTGGTTCAAAGCTGCAGTGACACTTTGTTATCTTCAGCCATGCCCAGTCAGTCCTCAGCTTCCTCTGGACCTTTCCAGCTGCCCAGGTACCATAAGTAATTTGAAACCCAGCCTCCAACGTTGAGACTGTTTTTTGCTTTCTCCACTGTGCAGTATTTGCTTACCTGTCTCCTACGCACATTCTTTGTTGGGAGGAGATCAAGGTGGATAAAAAAACCAGCTGTGAGTCCTGTTTTCGTCTTTCAGCAGTTTAGGCGTCAGTTCTTGCTTCTTAGCCCTTTCTTTGCTCGTTAGTAGGGTTTACTTTAGCAGTAGATGTATTCTTCTACATCATGGTAGATTTCATGTCCAAACTTACTCAACTGGCTGCCTAACTACAATCGCAAAGGTCACAAGTTCTATGCCATGTCCTCCCCACCCATTCTTGTGGCTAAAACAGACTTGTCCTCCTTGATGGCTGCTGCTAGTAGGTCAGTTGCTGACCCTTCTTCAACTCATCCCTGGGCAAGGAAGCTTCCCCAGAGATTTTGCAAGGGGAGCTTGTCTCCTCTCCAATGGATACAGTACACTCTACTTAGAAGCTGGAAGATCATCATGTTTTTATGTACCAGCTTGGTTTTAAACCTTGGCTTTTACAAGCCAGTTAAGTCTGAAAATTTTTCTTCTACTACCTGCTGTTTGATGATTTTCTTTAAAAGGATTTCAAACACCCTAAAACTGTTCTCTTCCTTTATTCTCTTGCTAAAGATTTTGTAAAGAAGTGGTCTACACTTCTAAGGGTAGACCACCTGATATCTCACTTGAACAAAGCAATAACTGTTCTGGTGGAGGATACCCCTTCATTCAAGAACCCCATAAATATAGCTGGAGTCCCTATCTCAAGCAATGTTTATGCTTATGGGTTTAACCCTGCACTCAGTCCTGGCAAGGTTCTATCCCTGCGGTCTCAAACCCCTGCTGATTGGTCAGAATCATTCCGATAGTATTTGGTTGGTGGATCGTGTGGACCAGATTTTTTTTTCATTGAGATATATATAACACAAAGTTGATGTTAGTTGCTTGCTTTTATGCATCAGCTGCATGTCTGTGCACATTGGGCAGAAAACACTTCTTTGCAGCTTTGGTGGACTAGTTAATCAAGAATGTTACTGGGGATAAGAACACTCATGTCCTGCAGGCTGAGAAGGGTGTGCATAAGCAGTATAAGTCTACACCATCTTCTTCCAAGGGGACCAAGCCTGGCGAGAAGCCTTCCTTAGCATGAAGGTGTGCCTTCTGACTGTTGCAGACACCTGGAAGTCCTGCCCTGCATCTCCAATGCCTTGGTGCATCTTAAATTGAGTTCCCTGCCCCTTACTCATTTTCTAGCTTCTGGGGTTTCTGCAACATCTTGCAGACCATCAACAGGTTCAACAGGTGGCTTTCTGGTGTCTGCCCCAATTCCTGCCCTGAATCAGTTACAGGGTATTTACTCACGCCTTTTCATGATTCCAAAATCCAAAGTGAGGATTCACCCCATCTTGGACCTCAAGGATCTGAATCTGTTTATTTATTTTGCAGCTGGTGTCCACATGGTTAGATTTTACTTCTGTGCACCAGGGGCACTTCATGGGCTTGATGGATATGAATGGTGCACATCTTCACGTGCTCATCTTTTATGCGCACTAGCGCTGCCTGTTGTTCACTGTGCGGCCCTCGCATTACCAATTTTTGGCTCTCCTATTGGACTTTATTCTGGCCTGGCTCTCCTGTTATCTTGGGGAATAGTGGTGTTAGGCTTTCTGGAGGAATTTCTTTTGAGAGGACAGTTGTTGTGGGTCTTGGAGAGCAACCTGTCAAGTTACATTTCAGGCAGTACATTGGTTGGATCCCAAACCTGCAGAAGTCGTCATCTTTGCTGAATCATTGGCTAGAGTATTTAGGTCTGATTCTGAATACATACTGGACTCGAGTGTCTGCTTCTGGATGAGAGTCTTGGGTCTGATGGTAGCTTCCTTTGAAGCTGTGCAATTTCAACCCCAGGATCTGAAGCCTAACATTTTGTGCATGTGAGACAAATTAGCCCTGCCAGACCACCTAGATCTGCTGTCAAAGGGGATGATCTTCAATTCTGCTTCTCAGAAACTGGCTTTAATAGAATGGCTGTTGAAGCTTAAATTTTGAGAGAACCTTATATTGAGAGTTTTTGACTCTCAGTACCATCAAGGGGCTAGGTCTCTGCCCTAGCTTATCCTATGTCAGAAACCACTGGTATCCCTCTCTCTGATTAAGATCTTCATTCTGTGGGTCTTCACCTATAATTTCAATTTGGTTCTTTTACTGCTACAAAGTTTTCCATTTTGACCATATCAGAGATGTTCCTCTTTCTGCACTGACCTACAAGATGGCTTTCATTGTGGCCATCACCTTTGCCAGACATGTTTTTGAACTGATGGTCTTTGAGTAAACCATGCCTAAGCTATGAACTTTTCAAAATTGTGGGTTAAATTCACATATTCTGAGAGAAGCTAGACAAGGCTAATAATCACTATGTACTGTGAGCATCTGGACAGAGCAGACAATCTTCATGTGCTGTGAGGAGGTGGTTAGGATTAAAGGTAAGGTTAGAGAAAAATATGGAACTCCTAAAAATTGTTCTTGGAGCCCAGGTCAGATTTACAGCAGCTGTTAGAGGTAGCTGTTAACAAGATGAATATACCACTGTATGAACATAAAATCACTTTGTTCCCACAGATAATTACCTTTTCTGGAGTGATTGGCCTGCAAACCAATGCTGCCTGGATTCTGGGCCACCTTCACTTATCCAGCCTTTCCTCATCCCAGAGAGCAGAACATCTGGTGAGCAAAGCATTTGCTAGTTGAAGCTTACAATGACTGTCCTAAACTATAATCCATCCATTTTTTAAGCCTTGTTTAATTTCATTTAGCACATACCTTTTATAATTTCACATATTTTGATATGACATAACAAACTAAAACTGCATTTGTTCCCTAATTTTTTTAAAGGTGCTTTTAAAGCCTAAGTTTAGAGCATATTTTTTTTATCAGCACAAGGGATGGAACCTGCATTTGATGTAAAATGACCCTTATGCTGATGGCTGTTTAGTTGAAACTTGAAGTGTTCTGCCCTCCACACCCTCCCCCCCCCCCATACCCTGGCAGCGATAATCTTTTTGTGTTGTGAGGGTTAATACGAGAGTTACTACTACAGCTTCTTTGATTGGAAGAAATTATTATTACTATACAGGATTTATATAGTGGCAATAGTTAGCACAAAGCTTTTCAAAATGGAGGGAGACAGTACAGTTACAGTTACAGTAAAATTCAATACAAGGGGAATCAGGGGGCTCTGATTGTTATAGCTTACATTCAAAAAGATTTCAACTAGGATAGCCAGCACAAGCACAAGGAGCCCATTGAAGTGTTACTAAACCCAGGATCCTGCATTCACTCTATCTGGTCTCCCACAGTACACAGAACATAGAACTGCAATTATTTTTGTAAATATAAACTGCTAAATACCTTTTTTCACCAGCAGGTAGAGCAGTTATGTGATTTCTATCAGTGTTTAGCAGAGCACTGGTTAAAGCTTGTAGGAGTTTTATTTCTGCTATCAGAGGATGCAGAACCCCTGACCTCTGTCTGGACAGCACTGATTGGCCCTGTACTGATCACATGCACTCTCCAAAGAAAAAACAAACCTCTTTAGCAATACACACCAAACTATGTATGTGCAGAGGGACTCCACCTGATATGTCTTATCAGGAGATAAGAGGGGGTACTGGAAGAAGGGGAGGATCAGAGAAGTCAGGATCACCCAGCATTTTACACAATGCGGAGGATTAACCCATTAGGTTAGTGAGTATATCAAGCATGCTTAACTGCATACAAAGACTGATTTCACTGTTGTGGGTTTAGTGACAGTTTAAATGTAAGAACTGTCCCTTGTGCTGATTTTTTTTTTTACCTATTCTTAGGCTTTAAAAAAAAATTACTCCTTGAATGCCCTACATTTGCTAAAAATGATGCTAAAATATACTAAAAACTTTAAACTTTGATCTGGACACAAAGGTTGTATTATACCTCTAGACTTGAAAACTGTTAAAGTGCAACTTCTGCAAAAAAAAGTTTTGGTTGAAGTTTCACTTTAAAACTTAACTGTAGTGTAGCATGTTTAATATCTGCACACATTTCCACTTGAAAAGACAATTTAATTTTGATAATTGTATCATAGGATCTTTCATATCTGCATTTTCTTTCATTCTCTTATAGTTCCTCCAGATTTCGGCTACTTGCCTGAAAGAAGCTTAATACGAGTTATCATAGATTTTCTCATTTCAGCTGGCAAGAAAGGTACAGTTCACTTCCGCTTTAACCTTTCTATTCCTACACCTCTTCCTATGTTAGCATAGAGCATTAGGTACCCAAAGTACCAGTGCCTCTCCTCTTAGCAGCAGGAAAGAGTTACAATGGATACAAATTATATTTTTGAAAAAGTGTTTTACTACCTTTCTAATATAATGTATGTATTTATTTATTTCAGTTAGTGCTAACCATTTACTCATTGCTTTACATATACAGTGCCTTGAAAAAGTATTCATACCTCTTGAAATTTTCCACATTTTGTCATGTTACAACCAAAAGCGTAAATGTATTTTATTGGGATTTTATGATGTGATAGACCAACACAAAGTGGCACATAATTGTGAATTGGAAGGAAAATGATAAATGGTTTTCAAAATATTTTACAAATATCTGAAGAGTGTGGCGTGCATTTGTATTCAGCCCTCCTGAGTCAGTACTTTGTAGAACCATTTTTCGCTGTAATTACAGCTGCAAGTATTTTTGGGGATGTCTCTACCAGCTTTTCACATCTAGAGAGTGACATTTTTGCCCATTCTACTTTGCAAAATAGCTCAAGTTCTGTCAGATTGGATGGAGAGCATCTGTGAACAGCAATTTTCAAGTCTTGTCACAGATTCTCAGTTGGATTTAGGTTTGGACTTTGGGCTATTCTAACACATGAATATGCTTTGATCCAAACCATTCCATTGTAGCCCTGGCTGTATGTTCGGGGTCATTGTACTGCTGGAAGGTGAACCTCCAACCCAGTCTCAAGTCTTTTGCAGACTCTAACAGGTTTTCTTCTAAGATTGCCCAGTATTTGGCTCCATCCATCTTCCCATCAATCTAGATTGTAAGCTCCGAGGAGCAGGGCCCTCCTACCCCTCTTGTATTGAACTGTATTGTTGCTGTATTGTCTCCCATTATATTGTAAAGCGCTGAGCAAACTGTTGGCGCTATATAAAACCTGTATAATATAATAATAGCCAGTTTCCCTGTCCCTGCTGAATACAAGCATCCCCACAACATGATGCTGCCACCACCATGTTTCACATACACTGTGGTCCCATGGTGGTTGGATGGACTTCTGCAGGATGTGGATGACGGCGGTATACCTGCAGGGATTCCAAAATACTTGATGGGCTTTCTAGCCTTTTCACCATTGTAGTGTTTTTAATTGTGGCTAATTAAACCGTGATTTATATACTGCACTTAGAATGCGCCTCTCTCTTCCTTCCCTTCACGACTAATAGTTGTCCTGAGGACAGATTCTCCCAGCTGAGCTGTGGATCTCTGCAGCTCCTCCAGCGTTACCATGGGCCTCTTGGCTGCTCTGATTAATGCTCTCCTTGCCCGACCTGTCAGTTTAGGTGGACGGCCATGTTTTCGTAGGTTTGCAGTTGTACCATACTCTTTCCATTTTCAGATGATGTATTGAACAGTGCTCCGTGAGATGTTCAAAGCTTGAGATATTTTTTTATAACCTAACCCTGCTTTCATCTTCTCCACAACTTTATCCCTGACTTGTCTGGTGTGTTCCTTGGCCTTCATAATGCTGTTTGTTCATTAACGTTCTCTAATAAACCTCTGAGGGCTTCGCAGAACAGCTGTATTTATACTGAGATTAAATTACACACGGGTTGACTATATTTACTAATTAGGTGACTTCTGAAGGCAATTGGTTCCACTAGATTTTAGCCAGGGGTATCAGAGTAAAGGGGCCTGAATTTATTTGTAAAAAAATTTGAAAACCATTTATCATCTTCCTTCCACTTCACAATTATGTACCACTTTGTGTTGGTCTATCACATAAAATCCCAATAGAATATTTTTACATTTTTGGTTGTAACATAACAAAATGTGGAAAATTTCAAGGGGTATGAATACTTTTTTTTTAAGGTACTGTATATTGTACATTCACATCAGTCCCTGCCCTCAAGGAGCTTACAATGTCACTAACTCACATTCATACATACACATACTAGGGCCAAATTAGACAGGAGTCAATTAGCTTACTAACATGTCTTTTGGAGTTAGGGAGTAAATATCAGAGTACCTGAAGGAAACCCACACAGGAAAATGCAAATTGCAGACAGGTAGTGCCGTGGTTGGGATTCAAACTGGCAATCCTGGTGCTGCCAGATAGAAGTCTAACCAGTTAGTCACTCTGCTGCCCGTAATATAATACAGAAAGAAGTACCTTGGCCATACAGGGGGTGGGAAAAAAACAAAAACGCTTAACAATGTATTAATATCACGGATCTGCTACTGCTTTCCATATCTTTCTGTAAATGTTCAGTAAAGTTTATGGCCATGTCAGATGGGTGATTTATTAGCAGGGACTCTTCATTGTTTAAGGGATTTCATGCTTAGAAAATCATAGGTATTTTCTGTGGAAACTTGTAAATTTTAAAGCTGAGTCGCTCAGCGTAACTGTCAGCTAAGACTCTCTGCAGTTTGTAGCAATGGTCTAATTGGTAGCAGCAACATATTACTTCTCAGCATGTAACCAACTAGCTACATAGAACTGTTAAATGGCAATGGTGATTAGGGATGAGCTCGGGCGTGTTTGTATTCTTTTCCGAATGCACATGAGCAAGCCTGCCAGGAAGCTGTCACTGTACTGGTCCAATCATAAGTGGCTGAAGCATGCCCTGCAGCCATACTTATTCACACCCCTTGTACATGTGCAGTTGCACAGCAGGATATGCCCCGGCTGCAGATGATTGGCCCCAGTACAGTGACAGGTTTGAACTAGGATCTGAACATGCCTGAGCTCACCACTGATTTGATCAGCAAGGAACCACTTCTACAAAATCATCCATTTGATATTGCCTTAACACTAGGGGACCAAGATGGCCATTATTTTTTACTTCATGCTCTTGAATTTGTTTAGCAGCATGTATGGGGGGGGGGGTATTATCATCCCTGCAAAATAGGAATCTTTTTGTAAAACCCGGTTCTATAAAATAGCCTCATACTTTTTGGCTGTTATATAGATTTGGTCTTGTTCTATCGCAGTTTAAACACCTGATTCCAATGCCTTTTGAGTCCATGAAAAAGACAAATATGGCTGCTAGAAGCATGTAAAATGTTAGTATTGCATCATTCAGCAGTATTCCTGTCATTTTACAGCAGAACCAGTGAACTCTAAAATTTACATTTTATTTTCTTTACCTAATTGTGCAGTTTGTTGCCGAATCACAGTTATCACAAAGTTAAACTGTGTTTTTTTTATGGTGTATCATTTATTTTGTGTTTGTAAGTTGCAGTGTAAAAACTCCTTAGGTATGTGAGTACTCTTAATAATGATCAAAAAGCTTTGCATGTTTAAGCCACACACTTTGTTTTCCAGAATGTTTAAGTTGGCAGTGACGGAAGACAGTATGGTTTCCTTTTTGCCTGACCACAGTTTTCTAGCGGCACTTGATAAGTCACCGCAGGCATGCTCTAGGAGAAATGTTTCAAAGAGGACTAAAATGCTTAATTTCATTGCTCAGCATTAGTCTGTTCTGAATTTAAAGTTCCAGAGCACAGCCTTTCTTTTCTTTTTCTTTTCTTTTCCTCTCTCTTTCTTTCTCTTTCTTTCTTTCTTTCTTTCTTTTTTTTTCCTTTTCTTTCTTTCTTTCTTTTTTTTCTTTCTTTCCTTTTCCCCAGAGCACAGCCTTTCTTTTCTTTTTCTTTTCTTTTTTTTCTTTTCTTTTTTTTTCTTTTCTTTTTTCTTTTCTTTTTTCTTTTCCTTTTTTCTTTTTTTCTTTCTTTCTTTCTTTCACTTCTTTCTTTTCTTTCTTTCTTTCTTTCTCTTTCTCTCTCTCTTCTCTCTCTCTCTCTCTCCATCTCTTTCTCTCTTTCTCTCTCTCTTCTCACCTTTCTCTCTTTCTTTCTCTCTTTCTCTCTTTCTCTCTCTTTCTCTCCTCGCCTCTCTTTCTCTCTTTCTCTCTTTCCTTTTCTTTCTTTTCTTTTTTTCTTTCCTTTTTTTCTTTTTTTTTCTTTCCTTTTCCTTTCCTTTTTTTTCTTTCCTTTTCTTTCTTTCCTTTTCCTTTTCTTTCTTTCTTTCTTTTTTTCTTTCCTTTTCTTTCTTTCTTTTTTTCTTTCCTTTTCCTTTACTTTTTTTTTCTTTCCTTTTCCTTTACTTTCTTTCTTTTTTTTTTTTCTTTCCTTTCTTTTTTTCTTTCCTTTTCCTTTACTTTCTTTCTTTTTTTTTCTTTACTTTTCTTTCTTTCCTTCCTTCCTTCCTTCTTTCTGTCCCTTCTTTCTTTCCCTTCTTTTCTTTCTTTCTTTTTCTTTCTTTCCTTTTCCCCAGAGCACAGCCTTTCTTTTCTTTTTTTCTTTTTTTTTTTTTTCTTTTTTCTTTTTTTCTTTTTTCTTTTCTTTTTTTTTTTTCTTTTCTTTCTTTTTCTTCTTTTTTCTTTTCTTTTTTTTCTTTTTCTTTTCTTTTCTTTTCTTTTCTTCTCTTTCTTTTTTTTTTTCTTTTCTTTTTTTCTTTTCTTTTCTTTTCTTTTTTCTTTTTCTTTCTTTCTTCTTTCTTTTCTTTTCTCTTTCTTTCTTTCTTTTCTTTCTTTTTCTTTCTTCTTTCTTTCTTTTCTTCTTTCTTTCTCTTTTTCTTTTCTTTCTTTCCCTTCCTTTCTTCCTTCCTTTCCTTCCTTCCTTCCTTCCTTCCTTCCTTCCTCCCTTCCTTCCCTTCCTTCCCTCACCCTTCCTTCCTTCCTCCCTTCCCTTCCCTTCCCTTTCCTTCCCTTTTTTCCTTTTCCTTTCCCTTTCCTTCCTTTCCTTTCTTTCCTGCTTTCTTTCGCGAAAAAGGAAGCTTCTCACTTTCTTCTCAATCTTTCTCTTCTCTTCTTTCTTTTCTTTTTTTCTTCCTTTCCTCTTTCTTTCTTTTTTTCTTTCAATGTCTTTTCCTTCCTTTGTCTTTCTTTCAGCTTTTTTACCTTTTCACTTTCTTTCTTTCTTTTTTTCTTTCCTTTTCCTTTTCTCTTTCTTTCTTTTCTTTCTTCCATCTTTCTTTCCTT